TGGCACAAATATCAGCCCATAAAACAACTGTGGATGATTTGACGAGGCAGCCTCACAACATAGTTGTGTTCACTGTTTGCTTTTTGTCTCTGTTAATGCTCCCTGTTATCACCCATTTAGTACCTAATGACCCCTGAGTCCACCATGTGACCCTGTCAATACTCAACAAGATAGGATAAGATGTACCTTTATTGATTGGGTTGGAGGTACTGGGTGCTGTGGCGTGGTGGAGTCTGATGGCCGATGGTACCAACGAGCCTCCAAACCGCTTTGAGGCCCGAGGCTGGATCAGTCTGTGGTTGAAAGTGCTCCTGAGCTGCCTCAGTGTAGAGAGGATGAGAGGGGTTGTCCATGATGGCTTTCAGCTTCCCTTTCATCATCTTCTCAGTCAAAGGCAGATCACAGCATATACAGTAGCAGACATTTAAAGTCGATAAAGGTGACTGGTATTGTATCTGCTGTAATCAGATCCCAGTCCGTAAAAGTGAGTCTAAGTGAGGTCACTGAATGGTGAACAAAATCACAGTATGGTACAAACAGTGCAAAGTTAATTTTGAGGATATATCAGAAATCAACATATCCAGCTGCAGAATGTAATTTCCTGTTTTACTTTTCTAGGTAATAGTAGACCACTTTGAAGACAAGAACTGTCCTGTGACTGAGCGGCTCAAGGTCTTCTACTGCTGCCAAGCCCCGCCCAGATGGGCTGTCCAGGTAGTAAACACTTCATGAGGACAATTACCAGCACAAACACTTCTCTGAGAATTTGAAGTCATCAGATGTGGTGGAATTTGAAAGTTTAAGAGCAGGTGCTGGGCCTTCCTCATATTTACAGCCCATATGCTGTGCCACTATTTTCACTGTGTAAACTGCAAACAAAAGAGCACTAGTAGGTAGTGGTAGACCAAAGCCAGTAGGGCTTGTTCTTTGAGAGCCTTTCAGTGTCAGTTAAAAGTGTTATGGTAATCCATCTGTGGGCTAAATAATCGACCACAGCTGTTATTTTGTATTAATCACACAATAAAAGTTGGGAAAAGGCTTACTTCCAGAAGACGAACCTTTTCTCATTTGGAGATTTTGTTTGATATTTAGGTGCTACTCTTAGGACAAAATGAGATCCCAGATACATTTTTACACCCACTACTGGTAGGACAATAGGCCATACAATAGATATATTGTTAATTCTGCACAACCCTTTTGTATTGTGGGTAAAATAACTAAAGTAACTCTTTCAGGGTTGGAGTTAGCGATTGCAACACTTCCTTTTCTACACTCATCCACTGTCATTCCTCAGGGTTTTAGAAATTACAGCTGTTTGCTGCAGCTTGCTGTGGAAGTTATCTGACCCTCTCCAGATCATGCATAGTTTTTTCCAGGCTTCTGTAAATATTCAGTTGTTCGCACTTACTTTGTTGATGGAGTCATGAGAGCACATGCAGCATTTCTTCATCATTGTACTGGTGTAGTGTTAACTTAATAATGAATTTCAAAAAACAATTGACCCCTTGCTTACTCGTGCAGTGCCTGTCAGGCTATCTAATCTAACATCGCACACATATTCTGTGTTCTGTCTATGTACAGATGCACTAAGTCTGCACTGTGTAACAATGCAAACATTGGGGAAAATGCTGAAGCAGTAATAGAAATTCACCACGATAAATTGTTTATAGTGTCATCCCGTCACTTTTTCAGCATCTAAGGTTAATATACGTTCAGTGTTCTTCTACACAAGGTCTCACAAACAGTCGCAGTTCATACAGTGAAATTGTTTAGCGTAAAACAGCCATCCTCCTGATAAATCCTCTGCTTCCTCTGTCCTGTCAAGTGTATAACTACAGTTTTTAGATTTGCTGCTTAAATATTAGCGATATTTGCTACAGTGACTTTACGTGCATGAAAACGTTTAAAATAACTGAAAGCAAAAGCATCCTCTCTAATCATTAAAGTAAATTGTTTAAGAAAACACTCATAGATCAACACAGCACAGATAATCACCGTAAAGCTTGTGCTGCTCGACATAATTGCCTGTTAGGCTATTTCTTGCAGATGTTCAAGTAGGATTTATAGAATAATTATGAACCTTAAAAATACAATTAAACCTAACTTGAACTTAACCTCTGTATTTGTATTAATATTGTTATTAATTTTGTATAATTTAACTCATCTCAATATTTTTATTCCTCCCCTCTATAGGGAGGAGAAAAAAATAGAAAGAGCAATGAGTAGAATAAACAGTAATAGAAAGATTTAGACTTGTGCTGGAGAGAGGGAGAGATCAGAAGGAGAGGCGATATCACCCAGGCGGCATGTAATAACTGATAACAGCAGTAAAGCTGAAATGGAGGAGTCACTATTGCCGCCTGAGGACTTTAAAGTGGGATGAAGTGGAGGATTGCAGGTGCTGTGATGCATTTTTTTCACTCTGGAGAACCATGGCCTGCATGTAACAAAGCACTGAAGGGCATTTTTGCACATTTCAGGCTTGTAACTACATACACACACAGTATATTTTACATTACTACTGATCGTATTCTAAAGTATGGCATACATTTCACAACTGATTCCCTTCCTTCATCATTGAGTGTGCCTGAAAGCACACTATTATTCCCAATAATAACACGCACACACATAGCTAGCTAGAGAGGAGTATTTACGGCATCAATAAGCTAGTGCTAGCTAGCTACAGAGAATGACANNTTAGCGGTTAGCTAGCGATTAGCGCTTAACTAAGAACACAATTAGTGCTTAGCTCAGCGCTAGCTTTGGTTACTGTGTTTATGTGTGCTAACTCTAGCTAGCTAGCTAAAGAGAATTAGAAGGTATTAAAATGCTAGCGCTAGCTAGCTAAAGAGAATGACATGGTATTAATATATGGGCCAGAGGCAGGCACACTCAAAATTTCTTTAGGAATTTTCTAGTT